CTTCACCCCGTCCCCCACTACCCCATCCCACCTCCCTCACCCCATCATCCCAAAGTGTATACCTCATCGCTTCTCCTGCTCTGTCTTTAACTGGCATCCCCTCTCCCCAGCCTAGAGTAGCCCCCTGGTACCCCAGACCCACAAAGCCCCAGGAGTGAACGCCACCCTCTCACAGGGACAGGAAGGTCAGGCTGGAGCACTTATCTCTGCTTTGAGCAGCTCATAGAGAGGCCCAGGGAGAGAAGAAGGAGGAAGGAAAAACACAGAAAAAGAGCAACCAGGCCCAGGAATCCTCCCGGAAGACCACATCTGCACACAGCACACAGCGCACAGCCATCCATCACGCCCAGCTTGCTTCTGCTTCCCCTCCCCCAAGCATAGGGACCAACCTCCAGGGGAAGCAAGCCCACAAACAAGATCCACAGGTACCCACTGGGTGGCCATCACAGCAAGCTGTGCCCTGGGGGTTGCAGGGACGTGACCAGAGTGGGAAAGTGAGGCACACTCAGACCAGACCTCACAACCCAGGATTGGGGAGCACAGGCAGTTCACATGCAGGACTGTCAGAGACCTTCCCCACTGGACACCATGGACCCTGCCAGCTGCTGTGCCCAATGCCTCTTAAAGACCATAAATGGCTCCTGTGGGCCTCAGTGCCCCTAGGCCCAAGGGTGGGAGACTTGACCTGGCAGCAGGTGCTTACTATGGTCTGGATGAAGCTTACATAGCTCTCCAGAGTCCCTGGATTCAAATTTAATCTCTATTGTGAAATAGTAAAATTGTGGCAACTGGGACTGCAGAGATGGCTCGGTGGTTAAGAGGGCTGGCTGCTCTTGCAGAGGACCTGGGTTTGGTTCCCGGCACCCGCGTGGTTGCTAACAACCATGTGAAGCTCCAGTTCCAGGGAATCTGACGCCCTCTTCTGGCTTTTATGGGCATTGCACATACATGGAACACATATGCATGCAGGCAAAACACTCATACACATAAAATAAAAATAAATAAATAACATTTTAAAGCATAGAGGTGAACTCTGACTGTGGTATTTGGAGGTTGGACTTTGGCCAGGAAATTGGAATTAGATGAAGTCAGCATGGGGGAGCCCACTCTTGAATTCTAGTGGTACAGGAGAGTAGAGAGAGGCCAGACGGACACATGCACACGTTCCCTGCTCTTTGGCTACGTCCTCCGGCACCCTGGGACTCTGTTAATGAGGAGCCCGCCACCAGCTGTAGCCCTTGACCTTGGACCCTCTTGGTTCCCAAAAACCAAGAGCCAAAATGAACCTCTTTTCTTTATAAAGTAATCTGCCTCGAGGTTTCATTATAGCAATGTGAAATGAGTAGGGAGTGATCAATAAATGCTGTGGGAAGGGAGGCGGCAGGAAGGGGGAGGGGCAAGTCTCACAGCAAGACAGGAGAATCCTGTCCGGACCTCTAACCCTGCAGGCCTACGGTGTACCAGAGGTACCCTCTGGCCACCACTGAAACCATGATGACTGTTAGCTAGACATGGACAGCGGAGGCCAGGACACAGCACACACTGCCATGCACGGGGGCTCACCGTCTGCTGCAGATCATGAATGACCACTCGGATCACCAGCGTGTTGCCCTGGTTCTCCTCCATCTTCGCACTGCTCGGCTTCTCTGTAGCAGCCCGGATGGTGTCATAGATGATCTCTTCTTTGGAGCTGTCTGACTCCGAGCCCACTGAATAGTCAGAGAAGCTCTGGGCCATCTCGTCCTCGCTGGATGTGGGGCTGCGTGGCATGGTGGCTGGATCTCTGTCAGGGAAACGGAAAAGGAGACTAAATGATGGGCAATGTGAAAATCAGAGAACCCAGGCCGGTGGAGACTGGTTCCTGAGCCTGCCAATGTGACTGCCAGTCCAGAGCCACTGGCGTGCTTGCGTATCAGATCCCAAAAGGTGACAAGAATTGTGCACCTTTGAGCCTGCGTAGAGGCAGCAGTCGGGGCCAGGACCAGGGCGGTCCCTTGCATTCTGGTCCTAATGCTGTGAAACCACTCTAAAGGAGTCCCAGCAGCTGCAGCTATGGCCACGGCTATGAGGATTCACCGGCTGGCCTCGGTGGCAGTTTGAAACCGCCCACGTAAGAGAAACAGCCACCTTTGGTTTTTCTTTGAGGACGGAGTGGCAGCCAGCAAGTTTACACTGTAATAACCCCCTGCTTCAAATGCAGAGCGGCGAGAGGCATCGGGTAAAAATAGCACAAAAGGGTGAGGCCAAGAAAGATCACCCGGATGAGAGTAAAGCAGGCTGAAGTCAGTCAGGGCTCCTGAGGGGCAGAGGCTGGGAAGGCCCCTTCCTCACTGCCAAGTGTGATAAGACCTCCACAGCAAAGACTGTGGCTGGGCTGCACACGGCTGTCCCCAAGCAGAGCTTCAGTGAGCATCAGGAGGACAGCAGCATAGCCAGGTTTGGTGGCCATGCCTCTCATGCCTGCACCTGGGAGGTAGAGGCAGGAGGATTTTGAGTTCTGAGTCATCCTCGGCTGCAGAGTGAATTTGAGGTCAGCCTGGGCTACATGAGACGCTATCTCAAAGAAACCAAAAAAAAAATTTTTTTTATGTGTATGAGTGTATTGCCTACACGTATGTGAGTGTAGCCGTGTCATGCAATGCCGAGGAAGTCAGAAGAGGGCTTCACATTCCCCTGGAACTGGAGTTAAGATGGGTTGTAGCTGCCATATGGGTGCTGGGAATCGAACCCGGGTCCTCTGCAAGAGCAATCAGTGCTCTTAACCACTGAGCCATCTCTCCAGCCAAATTTTTTTTAAAGAGTAAGATACCAACAAACCCCAGGAAAAGTCACCCAGGGTTAGTGACTGTGGTGGTACTACCCTCCATCTCTCAGGGTGGGTTGGATAATGCTGGCTTAAACCAGGGGTTCTGGGGACCTGGTGGAAAATGTGATATGGCAGACCAGCAGTTCCACCTGTACGAAAATTCTGTCAAGGCCCTGTGCATAGGAAAGGGTCTAGAAAACTCTGAGGAAGACACGTCACCCTCTTTACTCAGGTGCTGCCTGACCAAGCTGTGGTCTCTTCTGCCCACGGACTCTACACTTGTGAGAGTGAACGAGCTTCAGCTACCCGTAGATAACCCCAATCGTGATTCTGAACAAAGAGGGAGCAACCTGCAGGATCCAGACACTGGATTTATCTGGTTGGTCGACAGTGCTGTGGAGGGGATATGGACAAATTCACACAACATCACAGCAGGAAAGCATCCAATAGGAGGTTCGCCATCATGGACCATGGAGGCACCCCTCGGGAGTCTGAAACGGTTGCTAGGGCTCTGGCCCGTGTCATCACGTGCTTCCTAGAGAGGCCCAAGCTAGGAGGGCAGGTCTCAGACTGATGAAGCTGGAGGTCTGAGTGCTGGTGTCCTGTGGGTTGATTTGGTCTCTCTAGGTGAGAAACACTTCATGCAAAAAGGGAGGGAAAAAAGAAAGAGGGATAGAGCAACCATTACCTCCTACACACACCACGCACACCACACACAACACAACACAACACACACAACACACAACACACATCAAAACACAGACAACACACAACATGCACACCACACACAACACACACATCACAACACACATCACAACACACACGACACACCACACACACACACCACACACACCACACCACACACACACACACACACACACCACATGAACACCACACACACACCACACACACCACACCACACACCACACACACACACACACCACACACACCACACACACACACCACATGAACACCACACCCACACCACACACACCCACACACACACACCACATGAACACCACACACACACCACACACACCCACACACACACACCACACCACACACACCACACACACACACACACCACACACACACACACCACACACCACACACACACCCACACACCCACACACACACACACACACCACACACACCACACACACACACACACACACACACCACACCACACACACCACACACACACACACACACACACACCACACACATACCACATGAACACACCAGGCCACTCTGGCACAAGGAGTATTTTGAGCTAGGAACAACCGCACAGAAAGTGAGTGGGAGAAGACCTGCTTCCCCGCGTGCCTAGAGCTGTACGTTACTTCACAACGCTGCCCCCCTCCGGCCTCCAGAGAGGTCAAAGTCTACTTCCACAGCACCGCTGGCCTAGTGCTCTTGTCAGAAGAGCCAAGAGATGGGAGCAACCTAAAAGCCCCTCAACTGACAAGCAGTTAACAAAAAGGTGGTTCATTTACACAGTGGAGTTCTACTCAGCAGTAAAGAAAGATGAAATCATGAAATTTGCAGTAGATGGATGGATCTAGAAACTCTTACACTAAGTGAAGTGATGCAGACTCAGGAAAACTACGAATGTCCTTCATTTGTAGATCCTCACACCAAATCCTTAAAAACAAGTATCCCAGTCACCACCCATCAAAGAAGCTTCTTTTTCAATAGACGGAGATTATTACAGAGTTACACCACTGGTCACACACAGAGATTCTCTGTGAAATCCCAAGCCTAAGCGGCACATCCAGGATGCAACCTCTACACCCAAGGCTCACAGAACACAGAACAGGGATGAAGAGAGCACTAACGCATCTTTGAGTTCTCATCAATGAAGCTCCCTCGTGCAACAGAGGGCCAGGAACGCAAAAGGCCACAAATGGCCAAAACACAGAGAATAAGAGTCTGCAGAGTGTGGGTCCCTGGATGGGACTCCTATACTGAGGTCCACCCACCCAGGGTTCGGGGATGGTTGCAGAAGAGGGGTTGAAAAGATTGTAAGAGTCAGGGAGGAGGTGCATGACCGTACGGAAATAGTCCTACAGGCTCCTGGGACCTTCTCATAGGAACCTACAGCAATTACTGGCAGCTGATTACTGCTGGGTGAGGAAGAGCTGATCTTGAAGGGAGAGACTCTAGACAGGCTGACTAGACCCGGGTGGATGAACTTGCACTGAGGACATCTTGGGACACTAGCTTTACATAATAGGCCTTAACACAAATGATAGAACGTATGAACTCCAGTGGGGGCTATGGGAGGGTGCTAAAGGGGATGGGGGGAAGGGTGTAAAGATGATTTTATGTATGAAATACACAAAAATTCAATTAAAAAATCTTAAAAGCATCTACTTCCAGAGATTATTTTGACAGTCACCAACAAGGGAACCCACATGACAGGCTACACCGACCAGCCCTGACACATCACTCCTCCCTGAGTGAGCCACATTCCTGGCTCCCCGAGGAGACCAGCATTTCCTTCTTTTGTCATATGGCTCTGCTGAAGCTTCACGGTTCCTGTGTAGAGACGGTACCCAAGCCTGATCTAAACAAGTCTGAGTTCCTCTTTAAGAGACTTGTCTCAGGATGTGGGGATGTGGGTGCCGGTGGTAACAGCCTGCTTTTTTGTGTGGATCTGTCTTTTGTCATTGTTTCAGAGGGCCACAAGCAGAGAGCCTAGAACAGTGGTACAGTAAAAAGGGTTTCCTTCCCTAGGGAAGAGAGGAGGGGAGGCAGGGAGGGAGGGGGGGAGGAAGGGAGGGAGGGAAGGAAGGAAGGAAGGAAGGAAGGAAGGAAGGAAGGAAGGGTGATTGAGGAATGACAGATGGATGTGTGTGAGGGTGGATTGATAGGTGGACAGATGGGAGATGGATGGTTGCCTGGGTGGATATTTGCATAGATGAGAGATAAATATGTATGGGAAGATGACTGAGTGGATGGGTGGGTGGGTAGATGGATGGACAGATGGATATGAAGATGGATGGATGAATGGATGGATATGAAGGAGGAGAGATGGTGGATCGGTGGATGGATGGATGATGGATGGAGGGATGGGCAGACAGATGGGTAGATGGATGGATGGTGGATATGTGGATGGATGATGGGTAGATGGATGGGTGCATGGATGAATAAATGTGAGGATGGATGAATGGGTGGTTGGGTGAATGGATGGATCTGAGGGTGGATGGAAGATAGGTAGACAGGTGGATTGGTAGATGGATTACTGTATATATGGATGGATGATGAATGGATGATAGATAAATAGATGAATGGGTGGATGGATAGATGGATAAATGTGAGGATGGATGAATGGGTGGTTAGGTGGATAGGTGGATGGATGGATGGATATGGATGGATGGATGGATGGATGGATGTGAGGATGGATGTGAGGATGGGTGGAGAATAGGTAGACAGGTGAATGGGTAGGTGGATTATTGGATGGATGGATGGATGGATGGATGGATGGATGGGTGGATGGATGGATGGGTGGATGGATGGATGGATAGGTAGACAAGTAGATGGGTAGATGGATTACTACATACACAGATGGATATGAGGGAGGATGGATGGAAGGATGCATAATTATGAGAATGGATGAATCAGTGGTTGGGGAATGGATGGATCTGAGAATGGATGGAAGATAGGTAAACAGGTGGATGGGTAGGTGGATTATTGCATACCTGGACGAACTAGGAGAGAACTTTGGAAGTTGATTCTTTAATAAATAAGCCTGCATGAGGACTCTGAATATTCACCAAGGACATGACCCCAAACAGCTACTCAGATAATATTCAGAAATTACAAAGAGAAAACTATCTCAGGTAAGGAAGTCCAGGGATTCAAGTACAGTAAATAAAATCAAGTCACCTACTCTTGCACCAACTCTTGAGTAAAAATTGAAATTTTAAGAAATATCTTTTAGTTAAATAAGGACTTCAGGAAATAACATGTTG